TCACTGAACAGTAGAGCACATGTTCAACCCATTTAACCTGTAAGGTGTTAAAATTACTGTGAAAAGAGTGAACCTGTAGCCTTAGCCTTGGTATATAAACAATAAAAAGTTTAATAATGGTGGCAGTTTGACTAATTTTCTATTTTACAGCTGCTCCTTGTTTTTAAGCGACGCTCACTTTCTGACGCACCCTGAGCTCAAACCCACAGCCATGTGAGCCCCTTTCACTAACCACCGAACTACCAAACCCTCTAAACTTGATCTTAATGCTAGAAAAAGAAAAGTTCAATAATGAAAAAAGTGTTACTGGATGATGTTATCATTTGACATTCATAAGATCCAGTTATTGACTGGTGACTCATGGTGACTCAGTAATTTCTGAAACTTTCCTTTTGACATTTTTGCAGTTTATTCCTGTTTAATGTGTCTGATGCTTTTCTCTCCTATAAATGCCAAAGATTTGAATTTGAATGGGGGACTTTTATGAGCTGAACATGTAAGTGTTTGTAAAAACAATGGACATGCTGGAATTTCTTAACATGCTTAAAGCAATTGTTGCCTTTGAGATGATGCCCATAGACACACAATACTTCAGCAATACTCCGAAAAATAATTACATTTTCTCAATGATTTAGTCAACAAAAATATATAAAAATATTGTTTTTTATGTGTTTCATGTTTTCATTATTGCCCACCAATATGGGGAATAAGTCTGTTTTTCGACACAAACTGTATTCTGGTGTAAATTGTATTTTGAGAGTTGGCCTTGTTTAACGGACCATCTGTTGAAATTTACAGCACTTTAAGGCTGTCTTAGATGTTGGCACATTGCACTGACAATAGCAACAATGATGTCACTGTTGTTAAAAGTAGTTGAAATAAAAAAGACAGATTCTGCTTGAAATTTAAACTTGGACACCCAATTCAGAATATTGAGACTTGAGACTTGAAGGTGTGAGAAACACAAATGTAAACTTACTAAAATTACCACTTACTTTTCATAAAAAAATAACCTTTAATGAAATCAACTTTTAATTTTTTAGATGATTTTAGTAGCTACTAGTTGCTATCTTAACTCTGGATTATTTTAAGTCTGATTTGTTTTACAGTACTCTTGGTATGTTTTTATGGATTTTGCTGTTTAATTTTTTTCTTTGTCCATACATTCTAGTGATCAGTGTTTTTTCACAAGATCAAATTTTAGTTTACAACAGTGTTGTATAAAGTACCTCAAAGTGAGACTTGAGTAAAAGTGCAAGTATCTTATCATAAAAATACTTTGGTAAAAGTTAATGTCTTCTCTAAAAATATTACTTGAGTAAAAGTCTTAAAGTATCTGATATTTTTTGTACTTAAGTATCAAAAGTAAATTTCGGACACAAAATCTACTTAAGTATTAAAAGTAAGAGTACTGAGTAAAAGTGAGCAGTTAGATTTTCCAAAATGACATTTATTGGTAGGTGACTTCTCCAAAAAAAAATTTTTTTTCTAACGGCGTGAAGCTGTGATGGGTTGTGTACAAGCTAATAGTGTGTCAGAATGATATGTATTTATACTTCTCATCCAACCACAGTTAAATTCACTCTGTCCAGGAGACACAATTCATCAGCATAGTATTTTTTAAGTAATAACAACTCAGAATAAAATAGGAGTAACGACTTTTTACTTCTTACCTTTTTAAAAAATATAGTGAGTAGAAAGTACAGATAATTGTGTAAAAATGTAATGAGTAAAAGTAAAAAGTACGCTGAAAAATAATTAAGCAAATAAAGTACAGATAACCAAAATTTGTACTTAAGTACAGTAACAAAGTATTTGTACTTAGTTACTTTACAACTCTGGTTTAAAACTATTTTTTCTCTAAAATTTCTGTCTGTGTAAATGAGAGGCACAAACCCAAAGAGTTCCATTTTTTAATTATTATTCAGGGTATGGACATGGATTTTATCTTCTCCTCTGATAACTTTATGTTGTTTCAGAAAAAAATTACTTTCATATTAAAGTGATGTTAAATTATTAGACAATGTATATTATCTGACTTAGTTTACTACTTCCCCATGATGCTGTAACTTTATTCTATTGTTCCATTTTGCATTACTGGACCCGGAACTAGTTCAGCATTCTAATTTCCACATTTGACAAACTTTACAAATCAAAATAATTTCTAACCATTTGATTTTAACTCCACTAAAAGTTACACTTTAGATTTTTTACTAACTGCCACAAAGATCTTGCCCCAGGATTATGGTCTACTCCAGACGGTAAATAGAAAAGACTTGTGCCCTTTAGAAGTGGCTTTCTGATTAACTCAAAAGGAAGGCTGTTCTCTAAAGCAGCTTTATCAACATAGCTCCAGGGCAGTCACAACAGGCTGAAAGATATATTCTGTTAGTATCTGTATCAGTCTCTGAAAGCAGCTTTGCAAATTTTGCAGTTTGTGACAGTAACGTCTGTCTGAAGGTCACGGCTTAAACTTTGTTCTTCCAAATTCTTTGTTCTCCCTGTTGATTTTAATGAATAGTCTTTCAAAGACCACCTCTCAGTTTTGATACACAAAACATGTTTTCAGCTGAGGCATTCTTTAAAAAATACATAAAATTCTTTCATTTGCCTACATCTCGCTTACAAAAACCCATTCAACTCCTCTCACCTTGACTACTGTAAAGCTCTGCACTCCAGCTGGAGTCAGTGTATCTTCCAACAGCCCCTGTTGGTTCAAAACTTTCTTCATCACTAAAAAAATGCAGCACTGCTGTTTTGGCCTCCCTGTTCTGATCCCCTGGCAGAATTTGTAAAGCTTTTAAGGTTTTACTGCTCACATTCAGACAATTAAATGGACTCAAGAAATTGAACTGCCATTGGCACAGGTAGTGCCCAAAATATACCTCTGTAATTTTGTGACAGGGAAAGATTGACTCTTTTTGTGTCTTTCCCATTAAGGCTGTATTTTATGGCAATCTATTTGAACTCAAGTACACTACGTTTGTAGCAACTTTAAAACCTGTCCAAAAGTTTTTCTTAAGAGTAAGAGCTTTTAGCAGTAACTGACATTTATTGGGCATTTTGTTGTGGTATCTATTTACCCGTCTATCTAGCCACCTATCCATCTACCCATCTATCTACCTATCTATGTAACTACCTATCCATCTACCCATCTATCTACCTATCTATGTAACTACCTATCCATCTACCCATCTATCTACCTATCTATGTAACTACCTATCCATCTACCCATCTATCTACCTATCTATGTAACTACCTATCCATCTACCCATCTATCCACTCATCTATCTACCCATCTACCTATCTATCTACCCATCTATCTAGCTACCTATCCATCTACCCATATACCTACCCATCTATCAAACTACCCAGGTAGCTACCTATCAGGATTTAAGAACTGTACAGAAAAGCTGCTCAAATTTTTTTCCTCCTTTGGCACATCTTCTTGTTGTCGTCACTTACCTCATCACATACCTCATTGGAACATCCAGGTAGGCCGGTGCACACTGTTAAATGAAAACTGGCCCAGAATCATTACAACATTGAGCCACTATTGGCAACAAGCTTAATCACTCAGTGTAACATGGTGCAGTGAAGAATCTTGGGTGAGATGTGGGGGGGGGCGGGCCTCCAGCCAACTAGTTTGATTTATGACTTGATTCCCTCCATCTTAAAGAATCTGTAGGGGGATAGCTAGCTTTAGCTGACCCTTACAAACAGATGTGTAACATCACACGTCTCAGCAGTTCTTCACCGGCTTTTCACTGCCAGCAATAAAGTTTTAAGGTTTCACCAATGAGCTCAAAGAAAATCTGAATGCCTCTGAATGAGGTATTCATGGACCTTTATGTGTTTACCTTTTCTGTGTGTTTTGATCTGCTTTATATGTAATAGACTGTGTAGGTGGGCAGAAAAATGTGGCAGATAAGAGCATGCGTGAGTCGTGTCAGGCCTGTGTGACCATTGGATTATTCATGAGCATTCCCACACTATCCTGTCTGACCCTTTGTATGGTGGTGCGGAAATGCCATTTCTCCTTTGTTTGGGAATGTTTGAATTTGATCAGTCACATAAATCTATTCAAAGTCATCTCTGCATGCTGACCTTATAATGAAGGTGGTTGCCAGGCAATTACATCTCTTGCCTTCGCTCCGCCTGAACAAAGAGAAGCGAGCTTTGTGTTTTAAACGGATGAGCAATGAAAAGGTACTCAGCCCCTGTGTTACTGCATCCAGCTGAAAAGCAGGCTGAACATGGATTTATCACATTTTTGCAGACTTGCACATACACTCACAGAATTACACCCATGCATGCAGTAAATCTGTTAGCGCAGATATGCTATCCCTCACATGAGTTTACACACTGCCAGTTTTCTGTATAAACTGGTTGATTTTCTACTGTCCAACATGGTTTATTTAAATGTTTTTGCTGGCAAACAAAAAAAAAAGGTTCATCAACTTAAATGGACATTTTGTCACTATTTGGTCAGCTTGTTGTGACTTTCGGAGCAGCTGTTGTTGCGTAAAAAGCATTTCAGTAATGAGGCGAGACCATGAGCCAAAGTTGTTTGTATTTGATAAATGTGACTATTTTTCTCTGCAGGCTTCTCTAATGGAAGCATAATTACTTGCTAAATTGACACGATAAACATGTAAGACAGTGGCGAGAGAGAAAAAAAGAACATTTAACTATATTAAACATAAGGTGGTTTTGGCATTTTGTAAAATCCGAAGTGGCCTTCCTAGTGACCGGTTTTACAAACAAATTTCTCATTTGTCATGAGTTTGGCATGAAAGTCTCGAGCGCGATGCATTGGCTCGGTATACTTTTTTTTTACCTCTTCCTTCTTCAATCTGTTCTTCTGCCCTGCCTTATTCCCACGGTTGGGGAAGACTGGGCAGGGGACCAAGACGATGACTTAGAGCTGTCTGTCTGCTCACTGGCTTCTTGCTGAGGCGGAAGTCAAATACAAATGACTTTATCCTCTGTTCCTGCAGGAAATGCTATTCAGGCTTTTGGTTATGGGATAGACGTCATACCAGGCAAAAATGGGACTGTCCCGAGCGCTTTGGCAACATCTGCTGATTGGACAGCAAGCTTCACATATCCCTCTGTCACTTTCCCAAAGGTAACTATTTTACAATGATTAATAGAGTGTAGTATACATGTTAAATTTTGAGACGAGATTTGATGTTAAGCTTTTCCTTATTTACTGAAATGTGAACAGAATATAACGTTGTAACATTGTGTTTTGTTTTGTTTCATCTTCCAACTTCTTTATGTCTAAGCATACTAAAATTGGACTCGTTGCAAAAAGAAACATAAAACCGCTCCTTCTCACTGAATGGGAGGGATTTGGTGCTGATGCAAAATTCTAAAGCTCAACAAGCGGCACTGTTCATATCACAGTCTATCTCAATTCTCGCCAAAGCAATTGGAATATCAAAACGAACGCTTCACGATAAGACAAGTTTATGCTACACCCAAGATGATGACATGTGGTTGAAATTTCACATTTTCTTCCAAGACAATAGGAGAGTGAAAGAAATGAGCAATGGCAAGGAGGGGTTTAATCTGGATTAGAGCTTATAAAATACTGGCCCAAGGCCTGTTCTCTGCTGAATGCTGTCTACATTGAACACTGCAGTCAACTCGACTAAAACTGGGTTCACGGTCTAGAGCAAAAAAGGAAAAAAAAAAGGTTGCTTGTATCTGTGCTGCACAAATGCATCCGTGTTTGTCTTTTAATAGAACTGTACTTCATTTTCTTCTCAACTAAATGTGAAGATGACAGCACCACCCTGTCTGCTGCAGACTCCCCCACTCTTCACTCTGTCTCTGTCGAACAGGAAAGAAATATTTCACCTCGCACTTTTAGGCCACGAAGAGCGAGCTGTCGAGTTTGATTAGCCCTCACAATGAAATATTGTTCTGTTTTACAGATGTGTTTTTGATGTGCAGCGCAGCCGTCAAGTGGATGACTAACGGTGCATTTCACCTTTTACAGGAGACCCGCTCACCTAGTTCGGCTGAATTAGACAGCGTTTTTTGTGAAACATTCTGCTGCTGTTGCTATTGTTCATGTCATTATTCGCCGACTATTACAGATCCCAGTCCAAAGCAATGAGCAGTGTTTATGAATGAATGACTCCCATTAAGACGTATCAAATCACAGCCATTAAATGGTCACACTTCACCCGGAGGCATTCATTGTTGTGCTTTACACCGAAACCCTCATTGTTGGTATGACAGCAAATTAAAACCTTTAAAAAAATGTTGCAAAGAGGAAAATTAATGGACAAGCACTTCTGATAACAATAACAGCGTGGATGTTTGGGGAAAGGTACCCGAGACAGTGAGCTAAAGAGCATGGGTGAGCGAGAATGGATGATGTGTGTGTGTGTGTGTGTGTGTGTGTGTGTGTGTGTGCGTGCGTGCGTGCGTGCGTGCGTGCGTGCGCGCGCGTGCGCGTGTCAGTATTGATGCACTGCTCTGTGCCTGTCTCACTGCAGCATGGTGTTTAATTTATTGTAAAAATGGTAATTAGGAAACAATAAGACATGTGATTACTCAAGCAGGAAGTTTATAATTAGAGAGGGAGCTGGTAGGGACATTTTGGGCGGCCCTGCATTCTCAGACAACTATGGCTGGCAATTAAAACTTGTCAAACTTCCATGGCAGATAAATTGGGGGAGTGTTGTTATATTATGAGTCCTGTTGGCAGAAGAAAAATTGTCCGGAGCTGTAAAACTCATAGTGACTGTTACCTAAGAACATATGCTGCTGCACACATGACCACAAACTATGTATGTAAAAGAAAAAAAAGACAAGGTCTGTGATGGATGGATAGACACTATCATATTTACAGAGTATATGATAATCGGCAGCCTGGGACTGATTGTGTCAGTCAGGCTGCTCCTTTATATGCTGTACAGTATTTTCTGCCAATTTACATGCATATTTATTCAACGTGTCAGCTGTTGTGGGCTTTGGCATGCTTAAAGAGTAAACATGTGGGCTGAAGCTTTGTCTATTTTAAACATGCTTCCAGAGAAGGTTCAATTGATCTTTATTGCACCTGAATACCCCCGATTCCTTTAGTCACTTCAAGGTTCCTAGTGGCATTGTTTTTATTTTATTGTATTTAGTGTTTTATTTTATTTCTCTAATTTTAGCTTCACTCCATTGTCTCTCTGTAAGATTCAGAGTAAAGGTTAAAAGGTTTATTCTAGCATACAAAATGCACAGCAACCAGGCTCCAAGGTTAATAAAAATGTGTGAAATGAGCTGTAGGTTTACATGAGGTTCCTACAGAGTTTTCAGTTATCAGACTCTGCTCTTGTGGATCCAACTTCCAGTTGTATGTGAGGTTGACAATCATTCTTTTTTTAGGTTGAAGACTTTCCTTTTTGATAAGTCATATAATTAGGATTTCTTGAGCTGTCCAATAGTTATCCTGCTATAGGCTTGGTCAACAACACACTCACCACATTATCACACTCTGCTGTCATTATACGTTCATATTTGTGTTTATCACTGTCACTAAATTTGTGATCTTTCCTTGATTTTCCACATAAACTACACCTGGAAGTCCTGTGTTTGTCGGTGTCTCTTTCCTGTCCTGTCAGACCCGACACAGGTGGCTGCTCATCCAGAACTCAGTTCTGACTGAGGTTTCTTCCTGTTCAAAGGGAGTCATTCTTTTCACTGTTGCTAACGTATCACTCAGAATGGGGGATTAAACTGAAAAAAAGATTCAGCATGATCTGCTGGATTCTTTAGTTAAACAGTTTTATAATAATAGGTATTTCATGAATTATGTGAATGTAATGTATTCACAGATAATTTGATTGAATTAACCTCAAGTAGATTTGAATCTGGATTTGAGTTGAACTAAATTTGGACTTTTTATTATATAGTGCTCTGAAATGACTATGTTGTGAATTGATGCAATAAAAAAATAATTGAATTGTGTATTTAATTTGGGATGCGCTTCCTCTTGGCCACTTCTTATTGAAGCTCTGTTTCATGTTCCAGTAGCTGAATCTTTCGTGGCCGAGACAATAACTTGACCTTCTTTAAAGTTCATGTGTCAATAGTTTTGGATGCTTTCATTAAAACAAATTTTAACACAGAAGTAAATTGTAATGTCACAGAAAACCATTAGCAGTGGCCTGATTAGTCACCATGACAGTCAGACTGATCTCATTGCATCAGTCATACACTTCCTTTTAACACCCTTCCACTTCTAATCTGCACCCAACCAGTCACCAGATTAAAATGTTGTCATGTTAAATTTGCATAAAACCCAAGTACTCATATACAATTGCCTTGTTTCTTGTGTTGGCATTTTCTGTGTTTTTGAAACTGCTAACTGGCACAAGTCCAGGACTTATTAGTCAGAAAGTGTGCTCAGACTTAGCTCGTATTTGTGTGGATATGTGTTGAGTTCCAGTGACAGTTTATGCCTCAGAAACGTGCAGTTTCATGTTCTCGCTCACCGTTTTAGAAGGTTTAGGCAGCAAAACAACTTTGTTAAGATTAGATTTTTATTTTCTATTCTTTTTCCATAAAATGTAGATTTTTTAAAAACTCTGTTGCTCTCACAGCTTTACTGGGAGAGAAGGTGGGAGAGACCAGTCACATGTTAGCTGTTAAACACTGATTTAAATTTTCAAAGGGACAAAAAAGGGGAAAAAGCAATTCTGCTAAATGAGCACAGCTCTTGGTGAGAAATAAATCTTTGTTCTGCACACAGGTGTGCTGTGCACTGATCAAATTTAGCAACACGCTGGACTGCAAAGTACAAAACAGCGAGTGTGAAATGAAGCCAAGTTACAGGGGGTCAGCCATAACTTTTCCTGCTTTGTGTACATGGATGGAGGCAAATGTTTTCCTATATTACCTTATAATTTAGTTTTCAAAGCTGCATGCTTGTGCTGCCTGTGCTGTGGTGCAACTCTCTCACTGTTCATTTTCAGCTCAGTTGAATGGAACTGACTGTGGACAGAAACTATATAACCTGATTACTCGATAACCTGCCTTGGGAAACGCAGTCCTGTTTACTGTAAACTTGACAGTGTTCTAACTGATGATAAAAATTGATCTCAATGGGAGGAGTTGGTTCAATGAAAAGTCAGATGTATGCTGAGCAGATTAAAGCATGTGCATGTGCTTGTTCTCTCTCTCTCTCTCTCTCTCTCTCTCTCTCTCTCTCTCTCTCTCTCTCTCTCTCTCTCTCTCTCCCCTCCCCCTTTCTGTGGGTGTGTAGATGTTTTGACACTGGCTGTGTCCTGTCATGCTGTTTTGCATGTGTTTGTGCTTCACTCACCCGTTTATGTGTGCGTACCTTCCCACAAGCCTGCGTGGATGTGTGGATATTGGCTGCAGCCACAGATCTGGACTCATGTCAACTGGCTGCTGCCACACATCACTGCCCTCGCTAATTAATTGGCTTTTAGTTGCGGATGTGTTTGGTGCATTGTCAAGCTGTCCTTACGCACTCGCCCCCCCTTCTTTTTTAACACTTTGTAATAACATTGACTTATAAGCCATTTGTGAGTATTTATTTGATGATTTTTGTTGCTCATTTCGGATTTAATACACTACTTACCAGTTTTTATGTAACTTAACAGGTTTTTATATTTTGTAAATACATTTTAAATATTCTGTAACTGATTTGTCATCTTTAAATTACTTGTGTTATAAAGTGACACCCCCCCCCCCATTTTTTTTATCCACTGGTGATTTTAATCAGTTTCTAGAGAAAAGTGAACTCACAAGAATGAAGGTTTTTTTCACCCCTTCATGCACGCCCTCCCCATTTTTTTACCCCCCCAGGAAAAATGCATCTTCCTTGTAAGAATAATTCAACACTGTTTCCCAGCATCATTATTTATTTTCTCATTTATAAGTTACCTTGTTCTGGTGGAAGATGAGGCGCTAGTAGATAACATCCAAGTAGCTACTGCCTTTTTTTCCCTCCTGTGTACAGGGAAATGGACCAGTGTAATCTTTGCAAAGGTTGCCTTTGGAGAAGATGAGGTGTGTAGAGGGGGGCTGGGGGCTGAGGGGGTGGAGGAGGAGAAAATGTTTCATGTTTCCTATGATGTGTCTGTGTAATGCTCTGCTGGACCGAAAATGGCGCCTCTTCAGATTGAGCAGGACTTCTTTTACTTGAAGACAAACGGTTCTGCTTGATGTCACAAGAATCGGAGCAAATTGGAAAATTACTCAGAATTTTAACAACTTTATGGAACGACACATAATGAAGCTCGTTGTGGTGGCTGAGATAAAAGTGGTAACTCTAGAGGCCACAGAATTTAATGTCTGGTCTGATTCCAGCCTCCCTCTCACTGTCATAATGTGGGAAACTGCATGCTCATTTTGCCAACTGTACATAACGTTACTTTCTCCTGGACATAAAAAAAGAAGCACTGCGGTGTTTTGATTGCACACAGTCAAACAATACAGTGTTGGGATTGCTTTTTTTCAGCCCATATTTTCTGCGAGTTATGCCTTATGAAAGATTGAAAAGAAATCCAAAGCTGCCACTGGCTTCTGTAATGTAAGTTTGGCGTTGAAGCATGTTTTTCCTGTAAATAAAGTCCGTAATGATAGCTTTAAAAACTGTTCAAAAACTTGTTGGCACAGCTTAAAAGGGTTTAGGAAAAGGAAAAGAAAAAAAATACTTACAAGAAGCTTTTCTTTGTTGCCAACTTGTTTAAAAAGCAAGCAGCGTACTAAGCAAGGGAGGCTTGAAATATACTTCATATATCAAAACATTTGGTTGATCAAACGCCTGATTTTCATGCCAACAAGAATCTGCCACAGATATGTGTAACTTCTCACTCTCCCTTGTTTTGTGCTTTCTCTTCTTCTCCTCAGCGCTGACCCTGTCTTGTCTCACCTCCTATCTCCTCCAATCCATTATCAAATGCCAGAACACAAAAAAAGAAGAAACCCAGCACAAGTGTCTGAGTCATGTCTAACCTTTGTACATCTGTCCTCCTCTGTGTGTCTTTCTATCTGCCCAGAATGTTGAACAAAGCAGTGGTGGCCTGGCCCGGGGAGAGGCTTGCTCCCTCTATCTGTGTGCCAACGTCTTGGCTCTGCTTCCCAGCCCGGCTTTGGCTCTGATCCTGGTTCAGCATGTCTTGTAGAAGTGCCAGGAGGAGAAAGGAAAAAAAGAAAAAAAAGAGGTCATGCATCCACAAGCCGATCCCAAAAGCAGAAGGTGTCATTTCTGAGACTCATATGAAGAAGGTCGAATCTCTGTTGACAGTTGACATAAATGACATTTGTGAAGAGTGGAAGAACAAAAGGACAAGAGACAAGGGAAATGTTGAAATTTCACATCTGTGACTTTGTTGTTTCGTGTGATCTGTCTGCAGTTATGATGGAGAACGAGGCTTTGCAAAGGACGTTTGGTAGAAGAAAGCCATGAGGCTCATTCTCTGAGCAACTCTTCCTCTGATTGAGAAACTGAAACCTGGAGGACTGAACAGCTACTAAAACTAATCTCATTCAAAGAGGAAGGGAATTTATGAAGAACAGTATTGAAAGATAACCTGATTGACAAAAAAAAAGGGTGGTTGCAGAGAGAAATCGAAGGAGCATGAGGTAAATATTGCAGTGCGGAACAAAAAAATGTTTTTTTAATTGGGCCTTGGTTTAATCTTCCCTTGGGTGAACAGACCACAGATTCATGGGTTGGATGGAGGATGATTACATTCTGTTTTTTCAGCACTAATGTAAAGTCTAAAGACTGTAAAGCCTACTCAGTGTTCTAAGTGTTGGTTTAGTATCTGTGACCATAATCAATCTGCAGTACAGGTCTTTCATTTGGTTGCTGCAACATACTCTTTAAACCGATGGCAAAAAGAACTAAAGCTGGAAATGTTTAATGCCAACGGCTCCTTGGTCATTTAAGATATTGTTGTTGACTGTGGGTGTTCACCATATGTCCACCTGCACATGTGTATAATCCAGTCTCCATGTATATAAACACTCTTCTTTCATGTAATTCAATTCTATCTAGTACCTTGAAAGGACTTTATTGTATGCTAAGGTTGCTCAGTAACAGAACCAATGGAAGGCCTTCATTATCTGCATTTATATTTGTCTATTAAAGTTTAATCACAAATGTATAAAGTGAAGAGATTAAATGAGCTCAATCTTTGAAAGCCATAATCTGTGCATGGATGTTTATTGGGTGTTTACAAATTTATTACAAAGTGGTTTGGTGAGTGTGTGTATGTGTGTGTTAGCATGCAAGACAAGCTTATTTGAAGTATTTTTGGTATCAAAAGATAGTTCAGACCTTTTGAAATGGGCTTATGTTGAAAGATTTTTGGGGGGTTATTATGCAGAGTTGACTTTTTTGAGATTTATTTATGTTATAATGTCATACCTTCATCAAAAACATACCCAGAGTGTTGCTTTCACTCATTCAGGCATGTTTGATAAATCATTGAATCTCCTGTGATAGCCGTTTGGAGCTGCTAAAACACGTGCTGGTACAAAGCGCCTTGCTGGAGTTAAGTATGCAGCCGAGCTCCTGCACCACAGAGCAAACCTCCGCAGAAGCATTGTTGTGAAGACATGCTGAAGTGGGAGCGTTGGAAATGGTAGGAGGTTTTTAAAATGATAGAGGTCCATTTCAAGATGTTTAGATATTTTAGACAGCTCCTTGTAACTTTATTTCTACAAACCGAGGTCATTCAAATGTTATTTCTGACCATATTGACAAGCTGTCCCACTGGGAGGAGGCCCAGAGGAAGACCCAGGACATGCTGGGTGGACTATGTTTCTCGGCAGGCCTGGGAATGCCTTGGGATTCCTCCAGAAGAGCTGGCCCAAGTGGCTGGGGAGAGGGAAGTCTGGGTCTCTCTGCTTAGGCTGCTGCCCCCGCGACCTGACCCCAGATGAGCGGCAGAAAATGAACAGTCGGACAGATGGCTAGTCTGGGTGGGATACTTTTGCTTTACTTAAAAATTATTTATTCATTTATTTTAAGCACATAACAGTATCAGCTGGTGATAGCAATTTTGGCAGGAATATCATCATTCTTCTGCTGTAATGAAAGTGTATTGCTACATTCACATTGATCTAAATGCTTATAAAGTATCCATCCATCCATCCATTTTCTGTACACGCTTCTTCCTTTTCTGGGTCACGTGGGTCACTGGTGCCCATATCCAGCAGTCACAGTGCGAGGGGCAGGGTACACCCTGGACAGGTCGCAAGCCCATCACAGGGCCACACATAGAGACAAACGAGACAAACAACCATTCACTCTCTCACTCACACCTAGGGACAATTTAGAGTTCTCAATTAACCTAACAGTCATGTTTTTGGTCTGTGGGAGGAAGCCGGAGTACCCGGAGAGAACCCACGCATGCACGGAGAGAACATGCAAACTCTACCCAGAAAGGTCCCCGGACCGGGATTTGAACCGGTGACCTTCTTGCTGAGAGGCATCAGCTCTACCAACTGAGCCACCGTGCCGCCCGCTTATAAAGTAACATTTGCTAAAACTTCTAGAAAATCTTTGAGATTCATTCAGAGTGTATTTACAACTGATAATTTGGTCCACTTTAAACGGACTAGAGGTCCATTTCCCCCATTGGTCCAGACCTTTTATGTAGCTGTGAATACACTCATGTGAACCCTAGTGTGGACTAAACAACCCATTTTTGAGGTGGTCTCGGTTTGCTTCCAAATGGACTCTGTTGCAGTTCACTTCTCGAGGTAACACTACCCTACATGGATGCTACAAACAATGAGCTGTGGACAGTTCTTTGGACAGATGCACACATAACTCATCTGCTAGAGAAGACACACAAGAATGCAATCATCTTCTCCATGTTTAGAGAGAAAATGAAGCAGTCGGGATTTGAGCCGTCTCCAGAACAATTATGCGTTATTGTGAAAAAAAGCTTTGATTAATCTTTCATCTTTCTTTTCAGGTCTGTGCTCTGTCTCATCCTGGTCATTTCTGTCCAATGGAAGCAATGATCATCACCCACGTGGCTTTATTTACAAGTGATAGTCTGCTTGCAAAAATGTGCAATGTGAATGCAAACTGCACCAAATACAATAAATAAAGTCCACTTTTGGTCTGGACCAAAAAAGTGGACCAAAGGACTTTCCTGGTGAATACACCCTTAAGTTGTTTTAAGATGGCAAGTATCCTATTTAGTCTTTGTACCAAGTCTGAATTAAATTATATTTTTCTAAACTGAGTTTGTTCCAAAAGCTATTTACAAGAAAATATTAAATATTGATGAAGTTTCCACATAACTTTACTTCAAAAGATCTGAACTACCCCTTTAAGAATGTTATGCCAACCATAGTTCACAGTTTTGGAGAGTAAGGTTAAAACTCCTCTAGAGTGCTTCGATTTGTGATCAAACAAAATAAAATATAAATCTAGTTGGTTTTTTTATAAATCTGAAATATTTAAATATTTAAATGGTTTCAAATATATTTGTTGTTGTTATTATTGTTTTAATGTGTAGGGGTAATTGTGACAAATTCTAATTCCAGAGATGCCTGGGAAAACACACAGTGAAGGTGGATTTAAGAAATGACTCATCATTTTGGATTTACACAGGTTTTATTCTGTGACATGGGAGCTCCGGCAGCCAATCAAAACCCACTCAGGGCTTTCCAAGTTTACATCAAAATCATGTTAAAATGATTTCTCCCTCACGATCTACAACTTGTACTAAATGATAAACTTACTGAATGATGTAAAGATTTCAGCATGTGAACTCACCGGAGTTGCAGCTGCTGCGATTCCACAGCTTAATGATCTTTATTGCAGTAAAACAGAGTTGTCAAGATGTCAGCCTGTTTTCTAAAATAGTTCCCTCGCTGACCAGACGGTTTTCACATGGGCAAATGTGTTGCATTTGAATTGGGATGTCTCCAGCAGGCAGGTTTCCCAGTTTTAAACAGGAGAAATTTTTGTTAGCTTTTAAAAATTCATTCTGACAAACCCAGTCAACACAACAACAGTGATTAATTAGAATTTAACTAAAATACATTCATATGCAAGGAACTGAAGGAGCATATAAGCATACCATATGAGGCAGAATGAGTAATTTTAAACCGTTTAATTATACCTTTAACAATAAAGTATTATTTCACTCATAATGTACAGCGTTTCCTTTTGATCCACAAAGTTTTGATATGTGTGAAGGGAAAACTGGCGCACATTTACTGGCACATTTGCAGATGACAAATGTACCATTGAAAGTTTATGCTTACATCATTTGTCCCTGGAGTGAAGGGATGTTGATGTTTTATTTTTTCAGACATTATTTTTTTTTGCAGAAACATTTATGTTTTTGGGCAGGACATTAAGTGTAGAGTTGGGCCACATAAACGCACGGCAAAGAACCAAGCACTCTCAGGTTACCACCTGATTTTCTGTTATGAATCACAAATGTGAAATTAAAGTCTGCGTGATGTGTTATGGCTCACTGCAGTTGTTCTAGTGCACAAAAGGGGTTGGGAAGAAATTGCAGCAATTTTCTAAAGACTAGGAGCTTCAGATAATGGCGTAAAATGCAAAAGGTTTGAAAATATAATGCATGCTTCATATGTACAGTATATAAATGCCTGGAATTCCATAAAGCAATGCATATCATTTTTTTGTCTATCCATGAGTTGTTGTTTTTTTTTTTTTTTTTTTTTTTTTTTTTTTTTTTGCCATTTAACTAACTTTATAAATGTCACTTCTGGTTTCAAACGAGTAGTTGAAGTTGAGAGACTACAGATGTAAAGTAGCCTTAGGCTAAATCTGGTGCAATGCATGAAATGTTTCTACATTTATGATTTCATTGCACATTATCCTGATTAAATAAACTATAAAAAAGCAAACTGCAGTATTCAAGCATTTTCAGTTTAAACAAACACACCTAATGAACTTCTGAGCAATCGCACAATAATTTCTTGGGTGGAAGACTCGAAGCAGCAAACAAAATGACATAATTTTCGTCACTCAATTGCAACAATGTGAGTAAATTTTGCCAGTTCAGAGAGAGTATAGAGCCTTAATTGGTAATTAAATTGTCCTTAAGTGCGAGTCAGAATGTGAATGGTTGTTTGTCTTTATGTGGCCCTGTGATGGACTTGCAACCTATCCAGGGTGTACCCCGCTCCTCGCACAGTGACTGCAGAATTTGGGTCACATTGACCCCCATGACCCTGAAAGTAAGAAACATGGATGGATGGACGGATGGATGGATGGATGGACGGATGGATAGATGGATGGATGGATGGATGGATGGATGGATGGATGGATGGATGGATGGATGGATGGATGGATGGATGGATGGATGGATCATTTTATAGCCATTAGGATAATTTGTAAGATTTGTAAGCTGTGTTAAGTGAGATTTCATGTGATTTTGTGTAATCCTGTGAGATGTGGGTAACGCTTTATTTTACAGTACCGTTATTACATGTAATTACAAGGTAATAAAATGGTAATTAAATGTAATTACTACCTTATTACCATGTAATCACATGGTAATTAGGGTAAAAAAGAAAAACTACTGTTAGTACAACTACTTTTATTTGGTAACTACAATCAAATTACTAGTCAATAGTAACTCAACACTATATTTATAACCAAAAGAATGTAACTAAATTTTGGGGTTGGTGGTTAATTGCAATAAAACATAACTTTAAAACTGTCCAAATTACCTACTACTTATTTAGGTGTTACATAGTGAATTGTAATACATTACCAGGTAAGTGCTACATTACTGCAGACAATAAATTACATAGTAAAATACAAGTACAAGAAAAAGAAAGCGTTACTGAGATGTGTTCATGCTGCAGAGTATGTTGGAGATGACTTTCAGCTACTACCATGTAAAATTTTAGCTTAATATTGATAAAACTGACTGAGTCACATCATTTTTTTGTTTTGCTTTCTTTGGTATCTTAGCTCTCTTAAATTGGACTTCAGTCCAAAAGTGAATCAGTTATACAGTAGATGCAGACCTAATGATTCCTGTTTGAAAGTTTAAAATCTCATGAGACATGTTGATAAATCTATACACAGAAACATAATTGACCAGTTGCCTTTAGCGGGTAAAAAGTTAAGCTGTAAAAAAACAAAGAATGTTTTGGCTCATTATCACTTTGAAACTCTAAAAGGAAGTTGTTTTTCTTTCTTTCTTTTTTGCTTGTCTATCCATTTTAACTTCAGCCCGTATATCAAGCAAGAAATGTTTAAAATATGTCAAAGAATACATCATTTTGTTCCATCTGTCAAAAGAAAGCATGAAAAGAATGTCTACATCCCACACATCTCTCAAGTGTCTTTCTTGTTTCCTCTGGCCCTGGCAATGCTGCTATTTATATATATATATACATATATATATATATATACAGTATACGTATATATATATATAATCATAATATACTCCTAAAAGTCTGCAGCATACGCTGGTTTGATGTATTTCACAAGACTGAAAATCCAGATTCAAATGTGTTTATTTTCATTCAAACCTCATTATAAGAACAATATGGATTTCCTGGGATTGACGCTGTGGAACAAAAGGGACAACAAAGCAACCAAGTTAAGGAAAGTAAAGTAGACCAAAAAAGTTTTAATGTCAGTTAATCATCTTAGCAAATATCATGGTTAAAAAAAAATCCCAGCTTAAAAAGCAAACAAGATCTGTGCAACAGCTCCTTTGTACAACAGCTGCCAGAGTTAACAACAGAGCTAATGCAGTTATAACGCATGTTGTTAAAAAGCAAAGTGTTCATTATTTTGGGCATCAATCTGAGCTTTTGGAAAAATGAGAACATAAAGTCGATTTGATCAAACGAAACATTTAAATTTAAACGAAGACGATAAAAACCCGTGGAAACACGAACACAATAGCTCGCTGTCTGAGAGTGTATAAAGAAGAGAAAACTAACAAGAATCTTATTTCACATCAGTATTAAACATTTCAGAGAAAGAAATCTATCATAGATGAAGCAGAGCTGTCAGTTCTCCAGCAGGAACAACCTTGGTTGTTTGTAATGCAATACAGACATAATATAATCCAGACCCCAGGACAGACACAGCCCAATGCCTAGGATTTTTTTCTCTAACAAACAAAGCTTTTTTTTATAGCAAGTAAACTATTTTTTTCATATGTTTGCTTTTTCGTAATACATTTATTTGATGTGTTTGTCTGGATTGACACCATGCCCCTTTCACCTGCTCTTTGTATTGAAGATTGGATGTGAATAATTTAACACAGAGTATAGTGTACTGCAGTATTATTATGGGAAGCCAAACTGTAAACCAACTCTAGTACTTTGCCTGGATGGTAAAAGTAATATCTTGTTTTTGTATTGAGAACAGCTAGAACTTCTCAACAATCAAGTCATTTAAAGCCATAAATTAGATATTTTCTGTGACATTTATGAACAAATATTACCCTGTTGTGTGGATCAGTTCAGGGGGGTGCTGTGAACATAAATTCAGCTGAGAAGATTTGTATGACCATTAACGGCAGGGGTGGGCAATCCTGGTCCTCGAGGGCCGCTATCCTGCATGTTTTACAGGGTTCTCTGCTCCGACACAGCTGATTTGAATGAATGGGTGATTACCAAGCTTCTGCTGAATCACTGAGTCAGGTGTGTTGGAGCAGGAAAACAAGAAAAACATGCAGGATGGCAGCTTGCAAGAACCAGAATTGCACACCCCTGCTTAAAGGTATAGTTTGGTCATTTTTGAAAAGATGTTCTGTCAAATAAGTATCAAATAATTATGTCATAGCTCATGGAGTATGAAGAAATGTAAACGTCCAGGCTAGACTAATAACTTGTCAAAGGAGGGCTCATTTTATGATGTTTCTCAGGCTTTGACAACATCTGGGCAGGTGGTGCAGTGGTCAGAGCTGTCGCCTCACAGAGAGAAGCTTGCAGGTTCATCTCCTGCCTGTGGCTTTTCTGTATGGAGTTTTTATGTTCTCCTGTGGGTTTTCTCTGGCTTTTACTCTGGCTTCCTCCTGCAAAGCCAAAAACATGTTAGGTTGTCACTCTCCACTATTTCTATATGGCTCTATGATGGTTTGGTGACCTGTCCTAGATGCACCCTGCTTCTCACAAGCACCAGCTCTCACGCAACCCTGCATGTAGAAGTAGGTAAAATATATGACATACACGACGTACCAGTATGAAATAACACATCTACACATTTGCATTACCTGCACTTTTGAATATAAACTGAATAAAATATATTTTTTTACATTTTAAACAGGCAATAGCTCTAAAATAGCAATTTTGACCCTATGCTGTTCTGCCCACTGTATGTGATCGTCTTTAATCACAATCGTTTAAAACTGCCAGCTCAGCACTCAGTTTGTCTCTATAAATGTTTCAAGAAAAGTAATAGACTTTGTGAACATTCAGCAGCTACAATGCAGCAATAAGATGGTTTCAGATCCACATTTTATAAGGTGTTATTGATCAAGAAGATGACATCTTAAAGTGTCCTAAGTTTCTTCACAGCTCAGCAATGAGAAACCCAGTAATAAAATACAGGTATGTGGGCATAAAATCCCCATCTGTACTGTAAGCAGATGTGTCTGTACATATCAAATCAGAGCGGTGTAGTGGTCACCCTGGGTGGAATAAACGTTCCACCTGCCTTTGAACTTGACCACGGAAGGCCTCCTTTAAAGAACAGAACTCTATTCATTTTTTATGGTCATAACATGTTTTCTTAAACCATTAAGGGACATTTTATTCTCTATAATCAAGATAATAAACAAAATAGTAATGTTCTTTATATGTTTTGACTTTACATATTTT